AGCGAGAACGCGGGTGCGCAGTCGTACGACGGCGGCGGAAAAGCGACGACGCGTGTGGAGGCCGCCCCAGGGATTCGATTCGATCCCGACAGCCTCCGACGCGGCGGGGCTTCATGCTCCGCCCGCCAAAGCATCTCCGACAAGCATCCGCTCGCTATGAGGAAAGCACGAGCATCCCGCCCCGCCAGGGGTCCGAGGGGCGCCCCCGCTTCCTGCGCTTCGTTGACGAGTCCGCCGGACGCGACGCGCACCAATTTTGCAATATGCAGAAATCACGGGGCGGCGCGTCGCCGTGTCCTCCGCGGACGGCGTCCCGGTGCGGCACTCCGCAGGCGCAGCAGGGCCTCTCGGCCTGGGACGCTAACCTGCCGGAGGCGGGGTCCTTCCTCACAGGACGCCGTCGGCCGCCGCCGCCGCCGCCACCGCCGCCGCCGCCGCCGCGCATCGAACCGCGGCCATGCAGATTCGCCGTCATGCCAAAGGCCTCGATGGGTGCCGGCGAGGGCGCTCTGCGCCACAGCGGCACGTCGCCACCGTCGCAAGCGCTGGAAGACGCTTGGTCGTGGTGGGCGCAGCACTGCCATTTTTTGGTTGAGATCCTTTGCTGGGGCCTCTGTGAGACGGCACTGGTGCTGACATGGCGCCGACGGCGGCGTTCAGAGCTCGAGCCGGGACGGCACTGGTCGGGATGGCCTGGATCTGTCCTAGCAACCGGCGGCCATGTCCTCTGTCGACCCATGTGCCAACCGCGGCGATGCCAGGATGCTCCGGCCCATTTTCAGCTCATCACGAGCCCATCAAGGCCCCGGCACTGAAGACCGCAAGTTTCTCGGGGTACTGATGGATCTCGCCTGAGCCCGCATGATCGCCAAAGCCTTCTTGATCGCACAGCGCCATCCCTCCGCCCAGGCGGTCGCCTAGGCGTCCCAACGGTCGATCCCCACAGTCCCTGGTGCCGAAGCCGCTCGCACGATAGTCTTTCGCTCGGGATCCGCCCGAGATCGCAGGAGAGATGCCGGCGCAAAGGCCGAAAAAGAAAAAAAGATCGTGGTGGATGCATATATATATAAGTTGCTCGTCTCCCTCCAGGCATGGCAGCACTAAAACAGGGTGATCACTGAGATACGCGCCATGGCGCGGTAAGGCGATGTTATCAAACAAAAACGCCGTACCCTTTGTAGAACCAGAGGGTGACAAACCAGGAGGGGGAAAGCAAGCAAGAAGGCCAGGGAATCGAAGGGGGCACAAGAAAAAGAAAAGCTCAACGTGTCATCATCGCCTACGTTGATGAATGAACACCGCATCGGGGTCCGCACTTAGTAGTGGTGGATGTCGAACGGCTCGCAGCCCTTGACGGTCTTAGGCTCAGTGCCCTTAACGTAGATGTCGGTCCAGAGCTCCTTGAGGTCGGGCTCGGGCGAGGCCTTGGCCTGCTTGGCGGCCTCGTCGATCTCGACACGGACGGCGCGGTCAATGGCTTTGATACCCTCCTCGTCAATGACGTTCGCCTCGAGCAGGCGCTTGCGCAGGCCGTTGATAGGATCCTTGGTGCTGCGCATGTGAGCGATCTCCTCGCGCGAGCGGTAGGAGGTGCCTGGGTCCGACATGGAGTGACCACCGTAGCGGTACGTCGCCATTTCGAGCACGAGCGGGCCCATGAGTTCGCGGGTCCACTGGCGTGAGTACCGCGTCGCCTCGCGGACGGCGAGGACGTCCATCCCGTTGATCTTGAGACCCGAAATGTAGTCGCCGCGGGTATAGTACTTGGTCGAGGCCGCGGCGCGGTGCGCCGACGTGCCCATGCCGTACTTGTTGTTCTCGCAGACGAACATCACCGGAAGGTTCCACAGCTTGGCCATGTTGTAGGCCTCGAAGACCTGGCCCTGGTTGGCCGCACCGTCACCGTACAGTGCGAAGGTCATGTTGTGGTTCGGGTTGCCGCCGTACTTCTGGGCAAAGGCGATACCCGCGCCGAGCGGGACCTGGGCGCCAACGATCCCGTTGCCACCAAAGAAGTTCTTGCCGAACATGTGCATGGAGCCGCCCTTGCCGTGGGAGCAGCCGTCCTTGCGGCCCATCAGCTCGGCGAGAATGGACATGGCCGACTGGCCACGCGTGAGCGTGAAGCCGTGGCAGCGGTAGGCAGTGATAATAGCATCACCCTCGTTGCACTCGGCCTCCATACCAGCGGCAACGGCCTCCTGGCCGGTCGACAAGTGGCAGAAGCCACGAATCAGCTTCGACTTGTACAACTGATCCGAGACCGTCTCGAGACGGCGAATCTGGCTCATCGTGCGGTACATGTCCAGAAGTTCGCCACGCGTCGCCGTCGTGGTGAGGGCGGGCATGTCGCAGTTATGCGTGAGGAACGAGTCGGGGCCCAGCTCGAAGGTAAACTCTTCGTTGTCACCCGTCTTGGACGTGGCCTCGGTCGCGAGGCCGGCCCGCATCACGCGGCGCGAGGCCACCGGCACGCCTTGGGCGGCCAGTCGGACGGGACGGAGAGCAAACATGGTCACAAAACCTCGTTCGGCGAAGCTGAAATAGGAGGAAAAAAAGGATAGGGAAACGCGTGGAATGACAGTGGCGATGGTCGGCTGGAACGTCAACGGTACAGGGCACGCGAGCCACAAAGACTTGATGCGACGCCGACGCGTCTCCCACGCACGCGTCGCCCTCGTGACGAGGCATTTCCTGATGCACCGCAGCGGCGCAACACCGAACTAAGGTTATGCTTCGGCGGCGCGCGGTCGGCAGGCCGCGTTGCCCTCCGGGGGCGAGGAGGGCGCTGTCTGGCGCGGGCGGGCATGCCATTCCGTCGCTTTGCTTTGCCTCGTCCCGCCTTGCCCCGCCTTGCCCTGTGGTCTGGCTGCGGTTCCAGCTCGGGTTCGGGTTCGGGTTCGGGTTCCGGGAGCGGCGTGGTTGGCGCGTCGGGGCACCACCGCCACCGTTGAACGCGGTAGGCCGGCCGCCCCACCGCCCTCGCTCGTCATGTATACCCGCCTGCCCGCGGAAGTGCGGCGCGTCGATGCACGCCGCTCGGCGATAAGCGCCATCGCCGCACGTCCACCGCCCAAAAAGGGCCAAACCCACTATCATCGAAAATGGAGAGGACTTTTCATGAAACTCGGTCCCTCCACTCAGCGAGAGATCGTCAGCATGATACGGTTGCGAGCAGCGGGGCGAGACAGTCCCATCTCCGAGCAGAAAGGCGCCGATACAGGTGCCTGCCATGGAACCACAGACCCCAGCGTGTTCCAATGGCCACACGCGTGCTTAACATTCCAACCGAGGGGATATTTAGGACGAGACGAGCGTGGGTGGTCCCTACGTCCCCGCAGTGCCCCAAAACAGGCGTCATCGTGTCATCGAAGAGGGACGCCACCGATACTAAAGGGCATGACCTCGCCATACGACATATGATGCTGAGGATGATGTCCTTACTGAAACGGGCGCGATGGCGCGATGGCGCGATGGCGCGCACCACCCCACTACGAGGCTGGCGGCCGTGTTCGCATAAGAACCCTTCAGCGCTCGCAGACCACTGCATCGCACTTCATCTGATTTTCATATCAAACGCTTCATCCGATTTCGCCGAATCTCAAGCATTCACAGGATCGCCAGAGGCATGGAGGCGCCACCGAAGCCGTGACCCTCTGCACCAAGGCTTTCTTACGCTCACCGTCGCGGATCGCTCTGCAGGAGGCTGTTAAGCCGCGTCAACGTGACTTGTAGCGGAGGCGATGACTGCGAATATGATGGCGACGGCGACGCCATGCGGCATGCGGCATTTCACCTGAAAAAAGAAAAGAAGCTTAACAACCGACCATCCCACGGACCAATCCTCTTACCAGTTTGAATGATCGGGTTGATGGGGATGTCGCGGCGAGAGGCGCTCCGGGGGCGCCACGTCGGCTTACCTCCGCAACGGTCAACCCAACAATACCTAGCAACAGTCCGACAATTGTCCAGCTAACAAGATTGTGCGCAACACCACCAGATCACCGTAATTTCCGCGGTGGGCGGCCTTGGAGGCCGCGGGCGCCACGGGGTCTTCCCATCATCCGTGCCCACTCTGCTCGTGAAAGCGGAGGCAGCGACCGTCACACAGCAACATGCCGGTCAGACCCAGCTTCTGGGGCGCCTTGCGGTTGACCCTGCTCGCATGACGTGCCATCGTCCAGCGGGTGCCGCCAGCAGCCATCGAAGCGACGTTCAAGGCCCCGGCCATAGAGCAAGGAGCGAGCACCCTCGTGTTCCGCAAGCTGGAAAGCCAGGACCTCACGTTCACTCACACCATCGACAGCGATGGGACCAGTGTGTGCGTCCACTTCGAGCACATGTCAGCGACCGACGCCGTGCCGACAGTCAAGGCTGCCCCCGAGAATCCCTTGGCAGAACCAATATCTTCAAGAAGACCATGAAGCGATCCGACAGCCAGGTCATCAGCTGGAAGCTGAGCCAAAAGCAGCACTCTATGGAAGCCGGCATCAAAAAAGCCCCAACAGCAGCCAAAGACTTGACAGCGCGTTTTGAAAGAGCCGCTGCAGCGGCTCTTGGAGGTCAGCATCAACGGCATAGTGCTCGCCGCGCACCACCGTTCACTGGACGTGTGGCTCGCCACGTATGAACCGCTGCGGACGTGGTACCTGAAGCCGCGCTGGGCACGCCAGCGCCTGCAGGTATTCGGAGGCAAGCAACGCGTGTCTGCCAAATTTCTTCAACCGCGTAGCCGTAGGGAGAAGAAGCCCGTGGTGGTTGTCTTTGGCGCAGCCAAGGTTGCCCCCGGCGGCGAGGGCGAGATCGCGGTTCCAACGGCTCGCGCGTACCAGACGTGCGCCCAGCGTTTCGAACCGTCCTGGTCGACGAGTTACAGATGACCCATGTGCATGCCGAGACGAAACAGATCCTTACAGTGTGTTTGACAAAGTGTAAGTATGACAAAAAGGTCAATCGACAGAATAATTAGAGATAAATTTTTGTCTACGAAAAAAAATTCAGCGTACGTGGTGCAGAGGTAGCATGGTACCCTCCCAAGGTATTGGCCCGGGTTCGATTCCCGGCGTTCGCGCAGCTACGCAGTAGCTCCCTTTTGCGGATCCTGACGCGACAGGATGCGACCCGCCGTCTCGAACGATCTGACGGTCGACGCGCGCCGTGCTTTTGCGCAGGGCTGAGTGGCGAAACCCTCGGGCGCCGAGCCAAGCCGAACCGAGTTTAGCCAAGCCAAGCCAAGCCAAGACGAGCCCTGCTGGGCTGGCGGGTTCCCTTTTGGGCGATCCGGTAGATCTTGGGATCTCTGGACGGCACGGCGTGACGGTGCCCATGGAGCCGTGTGGGTTCGACCGAATCGTGTCCGGGCGTGATGTGCGTGGTGGCGGATCGAGGTCGGGGACGCTGCTGGGTCGGAGTTTGCGCGACGCGCAAATCCTGTGTCCGCCCTCGCCGCAAAACATGGGCGGGCGTTGGGTGGAATCACCCTTCGGCGGATCGAAACTCCGCCTGGAAACGTTCGGCGTCGGCCCCCACCCGTCCGAATCACGCCCTCGCTTCGCGCACAGACCCGCGGCAGGGATCGACTTTCTTCACATTTGAGCCATCGGAGGCTACCGCAGACCCACGACTGGACCCGCGGGGCGATGGCCGTTAGCCGCTTCGCAATCATCACCTGCCGTTGGACGACGCGTCGTCGAATCAGGACACACGGGAGCAAGCTGCATCGCGAGGCGGGGTGACTTAGACGGTCGACTGTCGCGCTGGGAGAGAGGCCCGCTGACGCACACAGCGGTCTCGACGGCGAGGCCACGCTGCTGGGCCACTGCAATTCCGTGGATGTCAAGACCATGTTGAATGTCAAGAAACGAGACTCGAGAAGTTCGGATCCAGTAGGGGGTCTCCCATGCGCTAAGAGGACTTCATGCTTGGCCTGTCTCCTCCTTATATATGCGAAAACCTGCGGATGGACGTGGTCTTGTTGATCGTTTGACCAAATAGAACGACCGATCGCCGTTCTGCTTCTCCGCGTCTCCGTGCGCTGGTTATCTGGCGCCCTGCCCGACGCCGCGTTCCGTCGGCCCTACTCCGCCCCATCCCGTTTCGCTTTCCCCTTGCCACCCCCAGGCCTTGAACGCGACCATGCGTTCTGACATTCAGATCCCCTTATTGCCCGGGGCAACGCCCCGGCAGGTTCCCGTAAGTCTCTCAGCCGCTTGATCTTCAAGGGCGGTGGCCGTTCGCGCATCCTTGCTCGAGACCGCTCAGCGCAGCCGAGATGGAGCCCAGCTTTTCGTAAACTCATCGCGTTCGCTTCATGTTACTTCTATGTTTGTTGACTATCAATGTGTGTTCCTCACGGCGGCGATGCCATGACGCCACGACACTCTACGAGATCTCTCCGATAGAAGGAGCACTACCGCAAGCCGCACACGCTGGACATGCGCAATGGCTACCAAGTGCAGCCCGGGTCCTACGTGGCGTCGATGGCGAGCGCCAGTGCGTCCGGTTCGGCCACGCCCAGCGTGTCGTCGCTCGCTGCTCTCGCGCAAGGTACGCCGGCCGAAATTGCGCAGCGGCTGAAGGAGCTGGAGCCGCGGATCACGTACCGCGACCAGCGCTACGAAGTCGCGCCGCGTGCAGTGCCGCGTTTCCAGCCGGCCTTTGTGGCCTACGACAAGCTCGTGCTCAGCTTCGCCGCATACTACCTGGAGGAGCTACGGGAGAGTCCGGAACCGTTCCATCTCCGCGTCGTAAAGGTGCTTTACTATGTGGAAGACGACACGATGGCCATCGTCGAGCCGGCGGTCGAGAACTCGGGGATCCTGCAGGGCGTCCTCATTGCACGCAGCCGACTCCCCAAGAGCTCGAATGCCTTCTACACCGCCCAGGATCTCGGGGTCGGCAAGAGTATCACGGTCTACGCCAAGACTTTCCATCTGGTCTCATGCGACGACTTTACACGCGTAAGTGCCCTCCTTGCGCGACAGGTCACCATCACCGCCGGAGTCTCTCCAGCGGCCTGACTCACCCTCATGAATTTTGTCGATTGCTCTGATTGTGGTGATCTCCAGCGCCATTTCGAAAACGAGATGGGCGTCAACATGCCGGCAAACCAGCCCATGCCGCAGGACCCGGCGCTGACCCAGCGCCACCGCCCGGCCCGCCGCGAGACGGAAAAGACGGCCTCGCCCGATAAGCTCAAGATGTTTTTGGAGAACGACCGCAAGGTGCTCCGCTTCTACTGCTCGTGGGACGATACGAAGCTGCACGGCGAGAAGCGTCACTTCTGCTTGCACTGGTACCTCGTGGACAACACGGTCCAGGTGCGCGAGCTCCTGCGCGTCAATTCGGGCCGCACCGGCCCCGCCGTGATGCTGCGCCGCCAGCGGTTGCCCAAGCGCTGGACCCACCTCGCCGAGAGCGTTGTCCAGGAATGGTACCAGTGGTCGGAGCTGCGCGTGGGGTCGACGATCAACGTGCTCGGCCGCGCGTTCGTGCTCCACGACTGCGACGCTTACACTCGGCAATACTTCGAGGAGCAGGGCCAGCCAGCACAGCCGGCCGGCACGCCGCTCGGCGCTGGCTTGCATGCGCTGGCGCAGGCTCAGCTGAGCCCCGAAGGGCCGGAGGCCCACCAGCCCGCCGAGCCGGTGACCCCGGCGTACCCGCCTTACAACGGGTTCGGCACCCCCGAAGACTCGCTCGGGTCGTGCAAGTACATGATCCTGAAGCCGCCCCGCAAACACACGAACCCAGGGTTCGCCGAGAATGACGTTCTCCATTTCCTCGCGCAGATGATCTCGCGCCACCCGGAGGACAGTGACCGCCGCTTCGTGGTCTCGTACCACCTGATGGACAACACGATCAGTATCCACGAAAAGGTCCGTCGCAACATCGGCTTCATTGGCGGCAAATTCCTCGAGCGCGGGCCGGTGCTGCGCTCGACGGTGGCTGCCGACGGGTCGATCATCGCTGACCCCCCCGAACGCGTCGGTTCCACTCGCGCGGAGGACTACCTGCTCCCGGAGGACTTCCAGCTCGGCCAGCAGGTGGTTATCCATGGCCACCGCTTCGAGCTCATTGAGGCCGATCAGAGCACTATGGCTTACTTTGAAGCGCGCCGTCACGATTAACCTTACTTTGCTAGAGTTCACCCCCCTTTCGCCCCCTTCCTACGACGGGTCTCCTCTTTTCTCCCATCTTTGTACGTCTTCTCTTCCGTCATGCGTTATCAAACAGACCATATGGTCTCGATGCCATCGATTAAAAATTGTCCCCTGCCTTCTCGCCTCTACACCCCGGGTGTCGGGTGTCGGATCCCGCACACAGTGCAGGCAAATCAAGAGAGAGCGAGAGCGAGAGAAAGTCAACGGAGCTTGAAGCGGCTAGGACGACGTCGGCATCACGGTACCAGGAACCGATCGGAGGGGTGGCGTCGTTTCCGCGGCCATCACCGTTGGCGGCGACAACGGCTGGGGACCCTCGGTGGCGGGAGCCCCGGGCTGGGCGGGGGCGTCGGTAGGGTACAGGGTGTCGTTTGTGGGACGTGACGCCGTGGAGGCGGCCGAGTATGGGCTCGACCGCTCGAGATCGGGCTGCTGTCCGCCAGCCACCAGGAGCGGCGCCCCGTCCGGGTTGACGCCGTCGCCAAATTTGGCGCATTGCGCCGGGACGAGGAGACTAATGAGGATCGATTCAATCACGCCCAGCGTGAAACCTTCAACGGCTTTAAAAATCTGCGGGCCCGGTCGGTCGGGGATCTGGGCATTGCCCCAGATCGCTGCGCCGATCCCACACAACAATCCCCAGAACGGGGGGAACAGGATCGCGCCGATCAAGAGCGCGCGGAAGATGTTGCCGGCGAGACGGCGCAGCCGCCACGTCCTGGGATGCCTGTGCGCCGGATCAAAGTCACGTGCGCCCTTGAACTGCTGGAGCGAGTGGTTGAGGTAGAACCGCGTGATTCGGTATTTCTCCATCCACCGTGCCACGCCGGGCAGCACCGGCAAAATGCCGTTCTGCACATCACCAAAGGTCAGGGCACCATCGAGGTTCCAGCCAATCAGCGACTGGATAAACACGGTGACGGCCGCATCACCGGCAATGACGTTGGGAAAGAACCACAACCGAATATCGGTCTGGCCCTGGTACATGGCAAACGCGACCCCCGTGTTAACGCCGGCCGAGATGACGCCGGAGACCAGACACCGGATGACAAAGTAGACAGGCCAGTACTGGCCAAGCAATCGAGAGCGAAGCCTGACCGACGACTGTAGCGCGGCCCGCGCCGGGTCGGTAGCCAGCCCGGGGGCATTCCGGCTCGATTGCGCCATCACATCGGCTACAGCATTCGAGCTCATGCCACGGGGGCTCAACGCGGTAGAGGTCTGCGACGCAGGTGACGACGACACCGCCTTGCTGGCATTCGCCGTGGCCACGGGGTGTTCCATGATGCTGGTGATCGTGGCTGCAATGAACTGGGAGTCAGCGGGCAGTTGTCGGGACACGATCACACAAGAACGGCGAGCAGGTCACACGGGACACGTTGGCGATACGTTGGAGCAGGAACCAAAAAAGGACATGCGGCGGACCCGATCCTCTACGTCCAGCGCTGGCGATAGGTCGTCGGTCCGATAGCGGTGCCCATCGGGTGCCAAGTGTCGATGTGTAGGGCTGTGTCCGAGTGCGTGTGAAAGCGGTCCGATGCTTTTCGTCACGTAGCTGGGGCCATGACCGCACAACCGCATCTGCGTGCGGAATTACAACCATGTTGTCGCTGGACCGTACCGACGGTTCCACGAAGGTTGAAACCCACGATCGTGCGACCGATTTTTTTTTCTTTCCTGAAGGATCGGCCCCTTTCCGGGGGCATTGTCGGAACTTAGAGGTCGATCCTGTCAGAAAGGGACCTGACGGGGCAGGCCGGGGTGGGGGGGCATGACGGGGTCGGCGTGTCAAAACCCACTGGCCCCACCCACCGAATCCGACCGATGGGTGGCGGAGACAAGGTCAGCATAAAACGTCACGCCGGTCGATGACGAGGCGTGATGGCGGGTCGCGCGACCGATGGCCGGT